TTCCTGCTCGCCCAGTGAAATCGAGTGCAATTTACAAACAGCCCTTTCCACCAATTATCCCCGTGCTCCCGGTTCTTCCCTTAAACGGCTGCCATTGTTGCTTTGTTTTGTTAGTTTAACCATTTCCTCACTCGTTTCCGCCACGGTTCCGTAGAAGTGCGGAGATGTTCTACGGAACCATTACTTCATCGGACCAACATGCAACCAAAAAGTCCCACGACCCAATGAGTCCTGTGTTGACTCCTCATGAGGGAGAGCAAGGGGCTTCTACCTGGGTTGTGGTTTTCGGGAGAAGTTCCTCGAGTTCTGCTGCACGGCGAGCACCGCACAGCCCGCAGACGTCAGCTGTAGGCACACACGGGCCACCCCAGGGCACACTCTATGCCAGTGTATCCCAACTCAGTCCTTGGGGACCCGCAGAAAGGCCACATTTTTGCTCCCTCCTAGCTCCCAGTAGGAGCAAAAATGTGAACTTTCTGAGGGTCCTTGAGGACTTTGTTGGGAAACACAACTGTGTGCTCTTTAGGCCCTGAACATGCCCCCCAACACCTGACCCATTTTTCTGTTATTTAATTGACTGACTGATGAAGGCCACGCCCCTTCCACGACTCTCAGGTATTTATGCTTGCCGTAAATGATTAACCCAAAGCAGCGGCTGCCGACGGGCCACCGCGTGCCGACCATGACCCCCAGGGCCGCCTGCCGACCATGACCCCCAGGGCCGCCTGCCGACCATGACCCCAAGGGCCGCCTGCCGACCATGACCCCCAGGGCTGCATCCCGCGCTGTCTCTGCACTCCACCTGAATGGGAGCCATCTGGCCCTGCGGCACGCTCCACCGTTAAATATTCATTCCCCCCTGAATATGATGGGCGCTGCGCTGCCTTCGGTAATCTTGTTAACCTGGGGAGGGAGGAAGGAAGGATGGGCAGGGGCCCTGTGATACCAGCGGTGTAATTAATAGGTTATGAAAGCAGATGGACCGCATGGGACAACCGGGTCATTATACCCCCCCACCCCCACTGTGCCACCACCCCTTCCAGGGTGGAAGGCTGCCATGGCGATCAGCAGCGATGTTCCTCACACATCCACTGGGGTGAGCCAGGTTCCTGAGTGAACGGTGAACTTCTAGAAAGCTCTGTCTCTGACCATTGATAACAACCCATTCGTTTCTATGGCCTGTAATGTCATAATGTTACTCCTTATTGTAACTCCTCAGCTCCGTAACTCACGTCCAGAAAACCCCGAACACGCTAACTAGGAACATACCCAACATATGCCTCTTGTTTTGGCCTGAAATTCCTCTAAATTTACCACCCCATGAATCATCTGCATTTATCAAGCGCCGTCGTAACCCTGCTTACCTGACGAAAACAGTATTTAACGTTCCTGACAAAAGAAACGCACATTATTTGGCAGACCTGTGCAGAAGTCACGGTACGAAAGCTCTCACACTTTGGCTGTACAGCTGGCTATTTCACCAAAGCTTTTTTTGAGTACTTTGCTTAAAGGCAGGACAGACGGATCCTGGGACTTCAGTGCAGAACGTTGAAGATGCACATCCAGTTCTTAAACCAATGAGCCTTGTGAGAACAGATGCTCTCCTTGAAGGAGCCAATTTAATTCGTAAATAATTAATATTAATATGACTTCATTAGTTATTCGTTAGGGCAGATGCACAGCGACGCAGACAGAAATCCACTCTCTGCAGCTTTGTTCCTCGCGCTCATGTCAGACCCGTGCCAACATCTTTAGGTTTCTTTGCGAGGAGGCCTAGTCTTCTGTGATGATCTTGAAAACATAGACCAACTGTAATAATGATACATTAATCCTCTTTAGATACAAAGAATTCTGTGAACACCATGTTGCATTGACGTGGGGTGCCAGCATTTCAAAGACCACCCCGCCCACCCCCGGCAAACCGCCGACCTACACCCACCCTCCCGGTGGTATCACACCCAGACTTCGCAGTGGCTGGTGTTGACACACCTATCTTCCCCCATCACACAGAAGACAGCTGGACCCAATTATTCTCAATACGAATCTGTGTGATGACTGCTGACCCCTAGTGGTCAGAGCGTGGCATTTTGAATCCTGTTTACAGTAGTGCATTTATCCTGTGAAAACTAGATGGATAAATAAATAATGAGGCTGCAGGTTCATCTGTCATGTAAACAACGCGAGCGGGACATGGAAGACATTTCCTTCAACCTGTCCGCTCATTTAAGGATCCCCAGAAGTGGCCCAGGACGCCTCTGGGTACTGATCCTCTTATGGGATACGCTGGAAATGTCTCTTTCCAAGAGAGACACAGTTGAGCTGTCCTGCCTTCTCACACATACCCTGTGTGCCAGAAGAAAGAAGGAAACAAGGAAGAATTTTAGCCAGAAAAGACAATGACGGTCACATGACTTCGTTCGCCATCACTGAGGCCGGCGATTATAACAAAATGATGAAGTGGGTGCGGGCAAGAATGGTGCAATCAGGGGAACTGTGATGCGGCCTGCCCACACCCACCCGTCTCCCCACTCAATCACTTTGATTACGGATAATCGGAGAGGAGGCCTGCCTGACTCACATTTGAATATCCGGGTCGGTCCTGGGAGACTCCGGTGCGACGAGCGGGAGGTGACCACACATGTAAATTATCTCGTCACTTTAATTAACAATTCATAACATCCTATTAATTATGGACCAATTTGTAACCCGACACCAGTGGGGAAGGCAGGCTCCAAGGTTGCCTAGGAACGGTGACCCATTTTAAGCACCACCCATCTTACTCCATTGTCACTGGTAACTCGAGTCTGTGGGGTCCGGAGGAGCCCCGGCATTGTTGTAGAAAGTAAATAAGCTCAGACCATATAATAACATTTGTTTCGGGTTTCGATCACAAAGGTTAACAAGTGGGGTTGATGAATAATGCAGCCTGCCCACGTGTCTGGTGACCATAGCTGGTCGCTGGAAACCCAACAGGGACACGCTACGTCCAGCCGTAGTTCCTCCGGTGCACCCGGGCCCTATTTTGGTAATTTTGGAACATAGATGGATGGGCTGAGGTAAGATCTCAGCATGCAGCATCCCCTTGCCCCCGGTTTGGTCAAAGCCCAAGTGGGTCTGTGCTCGGCCGCTTCCAACAGGCCAAGACTGCTAGACCACAGAAGTGCATCCTGGGCCCTTTCCCAGCCGAGGCTTATCGCTGCCCGTCCCAGGTCCTGGCACAGCACGAACTTCACCTCTGTTGCTTTTCCACCTTCCCCCTTCACCCAAATCGTGCCCCGTCGTGCACGTAGGCCTGGGAATTCACTGGGAATCACTGCGGGGACACGGACGCTGAGCGTCCAGGAAACAACGCGGACACCGGCTATAGATAAACAGCGGCTGTAGCTTAGAACCTGTTTATGACCTGGGGATATGTTTCCGACCACACATTAAAAATAACCTGGGGGAGGGGGGGGTATGAAAAGGTACAACAATCAGCACTGTGGAGAGGACACCCACGCGGGCTTGGAGGAAGCCTGACTACCGTGTGACCAATCTTCGGTTCCTTCCTCGCTGGCCTGAGAAACAGGAAGCAGAGCTCGCGATGCGTTATTGTGACGGACAGGAAATGCAGGGTCTCGAAGACTCACCCCGCCCCGTTCACGGCCCAGCGAGCCACAGCGCCCCCTCCCACTCTATGCTGGAGTATTTTGGGGGGGAGGACCACAAAGCAGCCCATGGCGGATGGCTGAGTGTAATGAAAGGTGACTGAAGAGCGTGCCCCCCACCCCAGCCGAATGCGGCCTGCAGCCCCCAAACCCAAGCCTCCTCAAACCCTGCCTGAGCTCCCTCTCAGATGCTCTGTCAGCATCCTGTGGGGACGCCGCCTGCATCCAGCATCCAAGCAGGACCTGGTTGCTAAGACAATCCGCTTTGTCTTCCGCTTCGTTCTAGTTAATTAAATCCTCATTTTATTGGTTTCATGCTTTCAGTTAGCGCTAACGGATAGGCCAACGCGCCAGTGCAGAGACAACCACGGCGCTAACGGCTGTTGTGCCACATCCCTTCTCTTGCCAGCCTCCCGTGTTTTGTCATCTCAGGTTCCGTTTCGATACCGAACGGCCCGTTCTGCCCTTTTGTCCACAGCTCCGGCTCGTTCTCTCCGGCTGAGCGGCAAACTGACGCCGCGCAGACCCGTCCCGGTGGTATGACGGTGTGAGATCTTGCCGGTCCGCGGACCCCTATGGACCGACTGTGCCATTAATCACACCTGGGGCACTGTTAACCCAATCAGAAGCCTACACGCTTGGGAAATGGTCATAATGGGTTTTCCAGTCGTCTTTCGACAGGACGGCCCTCCCTCCTCTTTATAGTGTTTACTTACTCTAAATTTAGCGGTTAAAGGGTCCATCTATCTTATTCTTTCAGCCCTTCTGACTTCACCCCCTAACAGGCTACTTGTGAGGACTTATACCAAAACCTACTGCGGCTTGAAAACCATTTAGTACGTGCAGTTTCCCGCGGACATGGGGCAAATCCATATGCGCCCTTTAGAGTCGACACTTCCACCCAGCCACCCAGAAAGAAATGACTTAAAACAGCGAGATCCCATCCCATAGCTCCAGTGAATAATTTATGCGAATGTATTTGCACGTGACGTACAACGCGGCGCGTGCATAATGACCGCTCCGAGCGGGTGGGCGCCAGATCCGGCAGCAAGGGTGCAGCGTCTCGCTCCAGGGAGGAGGCAGCCTAAAGTCGGCGCGTTTCGGGACGACGCCCTCATTACCAAGTTAAATCGCACACTTACCGCCAGCTCAGGCTACCTAATTACTCCCACGCGCCACACGGTAGCCGCGGATCTGCGAGTGCTTGTTCAGCAGAACGGGGGGGGGGCACACATTTTATTATTTTTTTTTTTTTTAAATCAACGCTAGTTAAACTTGAAATACATTTTTATTCACAATCACTAGAAGCTTTCTTCTGGAACCAAATAAAACACACAGACACTCACACAAATACATAATTAAAGCAAGACTGTGACGGGTGTTTATTTTTAAACCCCTGAATTGTAATCAATCCTCCAGAGCTGACTTTTTGAGCAGGAAGCTCTGTCAAATGCTCAATCCAGCTGTCAGAATGTCAAACGAAAGAAAAAAAAACTAAATCAAACGCGTCACCTAGCGCTAACTAGCCAAGAAAAAGTCTCATAACTCAACAATGCCATCTAATGGTCGGTTTCGGGTATGCCTCAAAACGACAGTCTCCATAAACAGGAACGAGAGATGCGTCGCTGAAACTGAAGAGGGGCTCATTTCTCATAACGAAAAGGAACAAACGACCAAGATGCTGAAGCACCCCCAGGATTTTAGAGGCGTTAGCTAATGAAATTGCTACACAGATTCATTTAGCTGATTTTGTTAGGGACTATAGGGGGGAATTTTCTGGAAGAAGTGCCCCCGTCCAAAACACATGGCACTGTAAGGAGCAGCTCCTATGTGAAGTCCCCTGGAAATGCCCCCCCCAATGCCCCCCATCCAGGCTACGGGGGTCTCTATGGCAGCAGGCGGTGGGACTGGGGTCACCTCTGCAGATCCGCCCCCCATCCTGGGTTCGGAGGCACCGGAAAGCTCCGCAGAGTCATCCGTGGGCGTGAGGAGAGCTAGTCCTCTTCCGATGGCAGGATAGGGTACGGGGCAGCCAACCCCCTCCATCTGTGATGCCCCCCCGACTGACTTTGCCGCAGTCTCCAAGAGCCTGGGGGTGCTGTTCTCCTTCCCCAAGGTCGGAACCGGATCAGACTTTAAGCCAGAATCCCGGTCTTTGGAGGCCTTCTCAGCCGGGTCGTGGTGCTCAGACCCCACAGGAAGGGCTACTTGGTCCCCGAGGGGCCCAGAGCCGTAGCGCACCAGCAAGCCGTCGTGGGTGACAGGGAACCTGTCCAGCGCCTTTTTCCGTCGCTCCAGCTTGGTCTGCTCCAACTTCCGCAGCTCTGGGGGGAGCTCCAGTCCAGTACACTGTACCACAGAACCGGGTACAGAGTTACAGCCAGAAACACCCTCCCAAGGTCCCGGCTGAATTACTTACTCATTACAAACATATTTTGCTACACTGTGTGTGACGCAGGCATTTTGTTATCTAGAATTTAGGTACTACCACATTTCCCGATTATCGATCTAGTTCCCTTCTAAGTCCTTAACTACCACAATATTAAGTTGCACCATTACACCTGTCGATTGAACCTACAGCTCGACAAGCAGGTTTTTATGGTTCCTTTCTTGCGTGCTGTTCTGTTTGCTGAACTATTATAGAATGACGCTGAGCCACAGTATCTCCCAAATAAACAATGAAAATGAAGTTTGTGGAAATTCCCCCCCCCCCCCCCCCATATTAACAATATCTATGCATTTCTGTTAAACACTGAGGTCCTGCTACACCAATGCACTCAAATCTCAGTGTGACACCAATACAAAGTTGATAAAACATTAATACAATGTTAATAAATCACCACGGCGCCCGCGGGCTAAACGGAGCCGTGCTGAATCCTTCGGGGATGGGGTTACCATAGCGACCAGCCCGGGGTCTCGCCTACCGAGCCGAAGTCCTGAACCTGGATGGAATCCTGCCTGCTGTGCTCCAGGTATGCATCTACCAGGTCGGTGTAGTCGGAGAGGAGGGCGTCGAGCAGCACCAGCCGCAGGGGCTGCAGGTGGATTACTGACAGGGCCATGACTTTGAGCAGGGCGGTGGGGCAGGGCCGCACGTACCATACCTCCCCATCCTCCTGCACGCACACAAACACACAGAGAGCTGCAGCCAGCGCTTCACTCTCCCTCCCCCTCCCTCCCGGCGTGTGCCATCCGCCATGGTCACCTCGGCCAGCTGGTCCTTGATCTTCAGGGGTGACAGGCGTGAGGGCGCCACCTTCAGGTGGAGGCCCACAACCTCCTGCAGGGTGCTGACCCGCTCCGGGAGCAAGCCGCCGGTCTCCATGTGGAAGTGCAAGACGTCGGCGAGCTAGCAGTGATAAGGGCACAGGGCAACAAACTGAGAGTGAGGTAGGGAAGTAGCGGATACAGAACAAAGTGCAAGAGATACAACCGTCGGCCAAAACTAACACAAATTTTCTCTCTTTTATTTAATTTTCGTTTGCGATATATTGCTGATTCGGATTTTTCCGGAAACATTGTGTGTCGGCACCTGAGTGTCGAAGATATTGGTGAGATTGACGTTGTACTGAGCCAAGAGACAGGCTGATATACCCCGACAGCCATGCGTTACCTGCAAAAAATAAAGCAAGCCACAACAGCATTTAAAAATACTCATTTATAGTCCTACAGATACTGCAACATCATAAACATTAAGTTACTGACTTTTAAAATGTGCTTATTCTCAAGAATCATGGACAAGCCATTCTTGAAGGCTCGCGCTCCAAGCTGCAAGATGTCAAAGAGGTAGACCTTGTCCTTGGTGGAGATCTGAGTGACAGATGGGACACAGGTGAGGTGAGAGGTCTGCCGCCCCCCCCCCCCCGTACCTTCACATGGCCCTCATAAGGGGGGGGCAGCTCACCTGAAGCCAGCAGAGCCTGGCATGGGGGAAAGCCCCCAAGGCATCGGCCGCGATCCCGATCACCTGCCGTTTGCGGATGTTCATCACCTGATGGGGGGGGGGGAAACAATCACAACACATGACACCAAAGACAAACCACTCCAAACTTTTCTACTGGCCAATAGTGCAAGAAATTAAAGAAAGAAGCTGATGATTCAATTTCACGGCGCATCCCCTGTCTGAGGCGTGATCAGTGTCGGCTTGGTGCTGCTTCCACTTTTGGGTCTGATCCCGATGGGATGGGAAGTGACCGCGAGGTTTCGGTTCCTAGAGATACTCACAGCAGGGCTGAACTTCTCGTAGAACTCGTCCACCACCACAAAGTCCACATACTCACTGTCAGCCTCGTCCTCGCCTGCACACAGCAAATTTGTACTTTTAAATTAAATAAATATATAAACATGCATTTCAGGATGCATGCATTCTGCACCGAAATTAAATGACATTTCTGCTAAACTTGTGAAAAGGTGGAAGCTGGTATTGTTGTGCGTATTATCGATGCCACTGTCAATGCGTAGGAAATACTTGTGCAAACTGACCAAACACTTTCCACCAGGAAGGTTTTCTCTTTTTCCCCTTTGTGTGTACTTTAACATTAATTTAACATTTAATAAAAGAGATCGGCGGAGACCTACCCAGCTTCATAAGTTTCCTGTAAGGCTGAAACTCGGACACCGTTAGCTTGCCCTTGTCCCTGTCACTTGCCCCGCTACGGGGGGGTTAGGGGGAAGGTCACACCAAAACAGTGAATCATACCAGCTTAAAATTCTGCTTCTTCTGTACTGCCGTAAATTACGCCGTGAAATATATGCATACCCATTATCACACTCCGGAGCAGGTGGGAGTTCAACTGGAAAATACAAAAAAATATATATATATATACTGTATATAGAATACAGCATCATACCTGAGCATTTAATATGAAGAAGAATTGGCTAAATAGTAAATCAACAGCAGTATTCGGTAACCATTACAGCACGTTTTACCCAAAGAGACTATAACGTAATACGGATATTTCAATTGATCACCGTTTAAAATTTCGCGACCAAAGAAAAGCTTCGTCCCAGGGAATTTTCTGCCACTTTGGAAATCGACAACTGGAAAAAGAACACACTGTTAACTGATCATGCATGGAATATGTACAATAAATACTGGAAATACGGCATGCCATTAACACCCGAATGAGCAGGAAAACTTGCTATATATAACCATGTCGGCCCGCTCACCGTCCTCCAGGATCAGCGTTTTGTTTAAGTTGACGCGCTGTATTGTGCCAACGTATGTAGCGGACTTTAGGGTGATTTTTAATCGCTTATTTTTAAAGCTTTCCAAGAATTGGCAATCTTCCATTGTGCCCATTATGCACCTCGTCTACTTTTGGCCGGTTTGAGTTAAATCAGAGGACGCGTTTTAATATCCGCAGCGTTCTTTAATGAACCGGAAGGTGCCCGCCAAACACGTGCGCCGCTCGGCTCAGCAAGCTGACGGCCGTGTTCGACGCATCCAGTGTAGGAGAAACACTAAAATGTCAACCCTGATCTAAAGTGACGCAATGAATACACGTTGAGTTTTTTTTTTTTTTTTTTTTTTTTAATTGTTTGAAATGTATTTTTGACACACGTTACAGAATTAAATATTGCATCTGTACACCCAGAACGAACCACAAACATTCAACAGTCTTCAGGTAATTTCCAAGATCTACGTTTTCCATCCTGTCTCGTCCCAGGTCTAGAAAATTCTAACAACAGCCAAAAGGACGTTTTATTGGCCTTGCATCACTAAGTAACCACGTGTACATACCCGGGATAGGTGTGTGTCTTGTACCACAAATAGTCACAAGCAGCATGAAGGAAACCACACAGCCTCACAGAAGACTTGTGCTTCCTGCATAGCTGTTTTTCTGTACGGAGTTGCACACTAATGTACATAATGAGCAGAGCGTGCTGAAACAAAAGGGGATGGTCTGCACTAGGGACCAGTGCATTGACTAATTCATAAATTTAACAAACTCCATTTCATTAAACTCGATAAAGTCCGCACTTTTCTATTTAAAATGAGAGACATGACCTGTAAAGGAAACATGAGAGAGGTGCCTGCGAGTTTTGGGGTCAGAGATTAAGGGGGGAGGGGGGTGACTTAGCAAGTGGGGAGCCCCCTAGTGGCATGCAAGTATTCAGCATTCAGATCCCCCCCCAAAACAGGTTTGGGGTTGGGGGAGGGGGAGACCGTAGTGTGTTCACATTTTGTTCCTTCCTGCAGTCCAATCGTTATAATATCTCTGTATGTTGCCTTAACCACACAGAATGGAAAGCAGCTGATTTGCCCCAAAAAAAACCCTATAGATCCTACAGCTGTATGGTGCTGTGCTCTGATAGACAAACCGCACTGGGTGGGTGGGTGGGTCACAAAGGGTGGGAAGCTCAGAGGCTGCAGCTGTACTTCACTTCTCAGTTTTACTGTTACTCAGTGCACAGGGCTTTGGGAGGGGGGGCGGTCGCCGAGAGCAGAGGACCTGGCGGCTAACCAAAGCGCTCGGCGGGACTCAGAAGGTAGGACGGTCGCTCTTAAATTATGGGGTGTCTTGTATGTGATGAAGGCATCACACAAATATAGTATGAGTTGTATTCATTATGCTATAGATGTACACCCTGTTAGGAGAAATGCAGTAATTTAAAAAAAAAAAATGCAACATACTGTATGTTATGACCACAAGAGGGCATGCTTACATTTACAGTTTGAGAGTCACAGATTATGAGTTACAATTTTTCAATCATTTGTGTTCCTATTTGTCAACTTTATAAGTGCCCCTGAAGTAAAGACTCCTCCAAACATTTGCTAGTTTGTTTACAGCCGGAGAAAGTTGTCTTATAAATAGTCTTCATCAATCGTGCATGATCAAAAGCGACAAAAATAGCAATGCTGTGAGAAAGCATAGCATTCAAAGACACATATCAAAATACAAGCACCAGGGCTTCCTCTTTGCCCTGATTGGTACGTCTCCAACCAATGAATTCCAAGTCTCTGAGCTAATTGACCGGTATAGCAGAATGCCTAAGCTAGGCACAGAATCTTCACAAGGGCAAGACAGTCTTTCTAAAAAACACACCTGTCCATTTTGACATCTAACAAATATATTCCTCACTAACAAAATTCCACAAAAAAGTGCAGCTTAATTGTTGGTAAACTGCAGTGGCAATATTAGACCATTTCAATTAGGGGAGCAGACAGTTGTTCTGTTAGGGGGTCCAGATGCATTTCACCTTAATGTCCTCCAAGGAATACTTACACTAGATCGCCAGCATTAAGAAGCAAAACACAATTTAAAAAACTGATAAATTATTTATCCAATGCTTTGCACTTACATTTTACAGTTATTACAAATATGTAACTCACTCTGATTTCCTGTTTAGACTGTCTTGCTTCCAAAAACTTGTTTATACAGTATTTTGTCTATCATTAACCTCACTTTTCATCAACTGATGTGATTCGATCACCCAGCGCACCAGCAACAAAATGTGCTTATATTGGTGTTTCACCTGTTCTCAGTCCATACAATTTTACACCACATATAAATGTAAATAATAATAATAATAATACATTTATTTCCTACCAAAGTAGCTTAAGTATTTAGGGTGGGGGGGCACAGAGGGTGCTATGCATGTTGTCATGGGGGCACTGCCCCCACCTAGAACCACCCCTGGTAAACTGGCAGCTCCTCTCTGTCCCGTGCTCACTGTATCTCGCTTACTGGATAGAGAGTGTGGATTTACTTTCACTGTGATTTACATTCTGTACTCCAATCACTGTCTCAGTCAGGTGGCTCAGTGGGCGGCATGTTGCTTCAGAGCTGCAGGGTTGTGGGTTTGAATCCCACCTTTGCTCAGTGTGTGAGCAGTTTCTATGTTCTTCCTAAATGTTCAGGGTATTCTGGCTTCCCATAGTGTGAGGTATGTGTGTATGTACACTGTAGTGGACAGAGTGCAGCCTTTGATCTGCCAGCTTACACAGAACTGACTCGTTGATGGACTCTGATTATGACCGAAGTTGACTCCTTGCTTTTATTAAAACAGACTCATTCTCTTGTTTTCTATAATGTCAATATGCACCAGTCAACATTGGCCCCCCAGAGGTTGTTTTTCTCCTTACTTTGGATTTCCTGTTCTCCTCTGTTGTCCTGTCGCATTCTTCCGTCTTCACAGTTTAATGCAGTGTTTTATATAAAAGATGCAGGAATGGACTGGCAGAAACCCTTGTCATGTTCCTTGGGTACACTATGTTGTGGAAGGTATTATATAAAATTCTCAAATTGAATAAAATCCCATCCAGTGTGGCCCCCTCCTGTGTGTCCTGTACTGATACCAGTTTCCAGGTCCCCAATGAACCTGTACTGCAGAGCACTTCAAATCCGAACTTCGATTCCAAATCCAGGCCTAGTTCTCAGTTCTCCCAGGCAGTTAGGTTAAAAATTACTGATCCTGATTGGCCACAGAGGCTTCACACCTGGCTCACAGGTAAAGGAAGGCTGGGAAATGAGCAGTTCTCAGACCTTGAGTTCTGTGATTTGAATAAGCCTGCTGTACTGGATAAGAAGTCGACGGATAACTCTGATGTAATGCATATATTTAACCACTAGGGGTCTGAGTCTGCGACATGGCATCTCAGGGACCTAACAGGGCGGTGATATAGATTTGGGCAGCAGGGGGAGCAGGAGACAGTCTGGATGGTGAGGAAACATCTGGCGGCGTTGTGAGGGACTGGTGTTAAACAGGCAAACTTAACGCACTGGCTCCTCTGCGCTCAGAAAGCTTTGCAGCTGAAGGGTACATTCTGCTCTGGAAGAAGCATTAGAAGAAGGGCAAAGCGCTGAACGCTGCTCAGCCCACTCAGGAGGTGTGGGAGACATAGCCTCATGCTCTTAGTGCTGATAAACACTGAGAAGTGCTGACTCGCCATCCCACAGTGTAACTTATCATCAACAGACCGGGCCCCCACATACAGACTCTGATTGTCAGTTCATGACATATGTTTACTTAACTCAGAGAACCGTCTGGCCTGTATTTATTCTGTTTACAATTTTTCCTTTCTTGAAACCACAAAGTTTAGGATAAATCATAAAGCTTCTAGTCTAAGGATGCCAGAGCAATAATCTGATTTATTCAGGCATAAGAAACGACCGATTCTTTGAAAATTGACCAAAAGGATTCCAGTATCTACAACGTTTTAAACACGCACAATATGGTCTCTGTGAGACATTCGTGGTATAAGTGGATTTTTTGTATTTCCCAGAATACTTATAGTTACCTGATAAGCCTGGATCCACTGCAGGCATGATAATAAAATGACCGTGATGAACTCTGTCTTTGGATACTAAGGACAGTAGTGTTCATGTGTCAGAAGAAGTGTAACTTTAATCAGTACAGCCTGCAGCCAGGGCCACAAAATGACTTAAACTGACAAATGTATAACCTACCTCATTAGAGTGCTGTCTACAACGTGTCATCCTGGTGTTAAAATAGTGGTTTGTGTGATGTTGACACATGGCTGTTCTGGTACCCTGTGCAAGATTCTGCAGAGTCCCCTCCCCCATCCCATAACCGAAACTCCCCAGCAACAGAAAACTAATTTTGTCAATTTATTTCTATGAAAATGCATTTCAATATTTCAGTAGACAGGGTATCTGGCTGCTAACTAGCTAGCACATGCCTGTTTCACAAGAAAAGTAGTGAAATATTAAAACTAGTGCAAATAACTTACTGTTTGACTACGTCTTTTGTGCCCCCCAATGAAATGGCGCCCTTGGCGATCGCCTATATCGCCTATAGGGCGGGCCGGCCCTGCACATGAATGCAGTATTTAGATATGTTTAATGCAGAACTTCCTTTTTATCTGCTGGATAATCAAAACATGGACAGCTGATCCCGTCCCTGTTCCTTTGGGACAGCTTGGCTTCAGATTTGGACAAATGCCGTCGCTGCATATTTTCACTCTTTTCCTGGGATATTTGTTAACGGAGTGAAAACGCCGTCATGTTCAGCTGGGACAAACAGATTCTCAGCCTAACGGACAGATAACCCACAATGCCTTAGGAATAGCCAAACTTGTGGGCTTAGGGATGGGCCCTTTTAAACACGGTGCCTTTCAGTTGCACCAAAAGCCAATTTTTAACCAGATGCCTTCCCTGTTTGAAGAGTTCTGTAACTTTCTGTCTTCGATTGCCCCCAAATTTGGAGGTTGGATTTTGTGTGGAGGAATCACAAGTACCATCCCCCAATCATCACAATCGCCTGGGATAGGAATGCAGAGCTTGGGCAGGCAGCCGCTCGTCCCAGTAGATTTAATTCCAAAAAAAACTCCCACTTTTTTTGCATGCTGCTGCTTGAAGGGCTAGGCCCTCGATCCATAAAGCAGTCCTACTCGTTATTAGAGATCGACTTGTCAAGAGAACTCACAGCTCCCAACAACGGAACCCTGATATCAAGGCAACAAACGACATCCGGCTCATCATGTAG